GAAGCATGGGCTTGTCACCAGTGGGGTACCTCAGGGATCTGTACTTGGACCCATTCTCTTTAATATTTTTATTAGTGATATTGCAGAAGGTCTTGATGGTAAGGTATGTCTTTTTGCTGATGATACTAAGATATGTAACAGGGTTGATGTTCCAGGAGGGATAAGCCAAATGGCAAATTATTTAGGTAAACTAGGAAAATGTGGCAACTGACATTTAATGTGGATAAGTGCAAGATAATGCATCTTGGACGTAAAAACTCAAGGGCAGACTACAGAATACTTGATAGAGTCCTAACCGCAACATATGAGGAAAGGGATTTAGCGGTGATTATTTCTGATGACTTAAAGGTAGGCAGACAATGTAATAGAGCAGCCGGAAATGCTAGCAGAATGCTGGTTTGTATAGGGAAAGGTATTAGCAGTAGAAAGAGGGAAGTGCTCATGCCATTGTAAAGAACACTAGTGAGACCTCACTTGGAGTATTGTACGCAGTACTGGACACCGTATCTTCAGAAGGATATTGATACCTTAGAGAGAGTTCAGAGAAGGGCTACTAAACTGGTTTCATGGATTGCAGGATAAAACTTACAAGGAAAGGTTAAAGGATCTTAACATGTATAGCTTGGAGGAAAGACAAGACAGGGGGGATATGATAGAAACATTTAAATACATAAAGGGAATCAACACAGTAAAGGAGGAGACTATATTTAAAAGAAGAAAAACTACAACAAGACGACATGGTCTTAAATTAGAGGGACAAAGGTTTAAAAATATCAGGAAGTATTACTTTACTGAGAGGGTAGTGGATGCATGGAATAGCCTTCCAGCTGAAGTGGTAGGGGTTAACACAGTAAAGGAGTTTAAGCATGTGTGGGATAGGCATAAGGCTATCCTAACTATAAGATAAGACCAGGGACTAATGAAAGTATTTAGAAAATTGGGCAGACTAGATGGGCCGAATGGTTCTTATCTGCCGTCACATTAATATTTTAAAAGATTAAGGAATGGAAATCACAACTGCAAGTTTTCAGTGAGCTCGCCAATATGTCTGCCATAAACGAAACCATCACGCACAAACACAAAAAACACATAGGGTTGTGGTATTATTTGATCATGGAGATTGTATTTAGTTACTTTAATATGCTTTAGTAATTAAAAGGGCATTGCTACCGGTAGCTGTTCTACAATATGTACACACATGCTGCTTTCTATGTTTATTAGAAAAAATCTAATGTTTGTGATTATGACAAAAGAGCTCAGCGGAGACATGAACAACACTGATAGAAAGGAGACTGAGTCATTAACACCTATTAACATGGTATGTGAATATGTCATTGACCACATTCTTGTCAACAAAGTTGCAAATAAAGGCAGTTGCAACAAACAGAATGCTATTCAACAAAGCCTGAGGATATGGGTAAAATGTGTCTCTGAAAGACTGTCAGCTGTACTCATGCATTTCTTGATATTGTTTTCAGTCTGGTGTTATTTATTTATGTTGTAATATATATATATATATATATATATATATATATATATATATATGTTTATGAGTTATTCTGCTTGTGGGAAGTACCACCCATATATCCACAATCAACTCTATATATCATGCCTGGGATCAAAGAATTTTGTAAACATGAGTGTGCAGATTTGTTCTCTTCTGAATTGAAAGTAATATTGAGGACTGGTTTTCTGTGTGTATGTGTGTGGAGGCTGTTTGTGGTGTTGTATGTTTATGGAAATGCTGCTTGTGGGGTTGTGTGTATGGGTGTTACTTCTTATGTTTCATATGGGGATGTAGTAGGGTAATATGGGCTTTAATTGGGGGAGGATAGTGGCTATAGTGAAGGGATATAGGCTGTAGTAGGGGGATAGGGGCTTTATGGGGGACTAGTGGTTAAAGTGGTTGTAATGGGGAATAGGAGCTGTAATGTGGGTATAGGGGCTGTAATGGGGGACAATGGCTGCAATGGGGGGATAGGGTCTATAGTGGGATAGCATATCAGTTGTAGATATAGTGAGGGGTAGTCAGGGCCAGCGCTACCTGTTAGGTGGACTTGGCAGCCGCCTAGGATGCCCCCTGGGAAGGGGCGCCGCCAGGAGCTCCGGCCCCCCTCATGCTGCAGCCGCCCGAGCGCTCTGTAGAGAGCCTCAGGCGGCTGCAGCTTTGCCCGGGCTGGTGCGTCCATGAGGGTGCCCTGCCCGGGTGCAGCATGAGGAGAGGGGCTGACAGGAGGAAAGGGCTCAGCGCTCCCTCCTGTCACTCCCTCTCTGTAGTGTGGCTGAGCTCTGTATGGTCCGCGGGTACAGGGAGCATCTGTCTCCTGTACCCGTCAAGACTAACACTGTGTGTGCACTTCCTTTTAGTCCGGCCAGATACAGGCAAAAGTTCCCTGTACTCGCGGACCATACAGTGCTTGGCCACGCTACAACAGAGGTAGGGGAGGGGGGAGAAAGAAATTGACAGGTGGGAAGAAAAAAATTGACGGGGGGGAAGAAAGAAATTGACAAGGAGTGGGGAGAAAGAAATTTGACAGGGGAGAAATTGACAGGGGGGAAAGAAATTGATGGGGGGAAATAAATTGATAGGGAGTGGGGAGAAATAAATTGACAGGAGGGAGATAAAGAAATTGACAAGGAGGGGAGAAATTGACGGGGAGAAATTGACAGGGGAATTTATGGGGAAGAAAGAAATTGACAGGGAGTGGGGGAGAAATAAATTGACAGGGGAGAAAGAAATTCACAGGAGGGGAGAGGAGACAGTGAGGGGAGAAAGAAATTGACAGGGGAGAAAGAAATTGACAGGAGGGGAATTGACAGGGAGAGAAAGAAATTGACAGGGGGGAGTGACAGGGGAGGAGGGGAAATGAGAGTGGTGAGGGGGGAGGGGAGGGGAGAAGAGAGTGACAAGGGGGGGAAGAGAGTGACAAGGGGGGAGAAGAGAGTGACAAGGGAGGGGGAGAAGAGAGTGACATGGGAGGGGGGGAGAAGAGAGTGACAAGGGAGGGGGGAGAAGAGAGTGACAAGGGAGGGGGGGGATTGACATCCATCACACACACACACAATGCACCCCTTGCACACAGAAAAATACACAATGCATTACACACACAGTGCATTACACACACAGACACACACACACACACAAGCACTGCAACCCTTACACACAATGCATCCCTTACACACACAGAAACACACAATGCATTCCTTACACACACTCAATGCACCCCTTACAGACGCACACACTGCATCCCGTACATACACAGAAACACACCTTGCAGCCCTTACACATACAAACACAATGCATTCCTTACACACATATCAGGACATCCCCTACACACTCCACCCCCTGGTGGAACATGAAGGTGGACCCTGGGACCCAGACCTTGAGCTGTGTAAGGGCCCCCCAAAAATGGAGTTGCTTCCCGTTCTCCCAGAACATTGATTTTTGTGACCACAGTTACAAACAGCCTCCAGAGATCCTGTTCTACACCAGACTAACGGAGCCAGACTGCAGCTAGAGCCCATCATCATCCTCATCTGGTTGTAAGTAGGCAATCTAGTATATTATTTGTGGCACTAATCTCTAATTTACCTCACATTAAAGAAACACTATAGTCCCCAGAACCACTGCAGCTTAATGTAGTGCTTCTGGTGTCTATAGCCTGTCCCTGCAGGCCTTTTAATGTAAACACGGCGACACTGCAGCACTGGCGTTAACATGGCAGATCATATGTGTGGGGCATTGTGATGTCACATGGGGGGGTGGCAAACTTTACTTTTGCCTAGGGCGGCAAAAATCCTTGCACCAGCCCTGGGCGTAGTAGCTACAGTGGTGATAGGATGAAAGTGGGGAGGGCATGGTGTGAGGCTGACAGTGACAGGGTGACTTTGGGGGCAGGGTGTGAGGGTGACAGTGGGGGGGCAAGGTGTGATGGTGACAGTGGGGGGTGCAGGGTGTGAGGGTGACAGGGGGGGCACGGTATGAGGGTGAATAAAGCCGGATAAGATAGAACTGGATTTTTGCTAATTGTTATAGTCAGAGACTTAGCGGGAAAGGCTCTGGATTACTAATCTGACCACACCCACTTTGTGTTTCAACCTCAGAATATATATACTTTATTTTCTTTCCAGTTAACACCTACATACAGAGCCTTGTCTCTGGTGGGAGTAACAATTTTATTTCATTGACAGTGAGGGTGACGGGGGGGAGGGGGCAGAGTATGAGGTTGACAGTGGGGGGCAAGGTTTGAAGGTGACAGTGGGGGGCAGGGTATGAGGGTGACAATGTGGGTAACAGTGGGGGATGCATGGTATGAGGGTAACAATGAGGGTGACAGTGGGGGGGTGCAGGGTATGAGGGTGACAGTGGTGGGCAGGGTATGAGGGTGACAGTAGGGGAGCAGGGTATGAGAGTGACAGTGGGGGTGACAGTGGGGGGCAGGGTGTGAGGGTGACATTGTGGGGAGGCTGGTTACATATCTTGTTTCTCAGTGCTCCCCATTTCCTTGTGATCCAGTGGCTGGCTCTACAGGTCTCAGGTAACCCACGACAATGCTCTGTGAGCTCGCAAGCCTTCCATCACTTGGTCTGCAGCTCTGCACTCGGCAGGGCTGCAGACACGAGGCTCCCCCTGGGCTGACTGATGGAGGGGCCCGGCGGCATAAATGGCAAGCCGCCGGGCACCTCCTGGTGTCGAGTCCTCGGTCACTTACCAAGGACCGGATGAAGCAGTCTGCATTAAGGTTTATAGAGCCGCCTCTGCTACATATATATGCAGCACAGGCGACCTGGGCGGCAAAATGATGCCCCTGTTAAAGTGCCGCCTGGGGCCATTGCCCCAGTCAGTCCTATGGACGGGCATTCCCTGCACACAGGGCAGATTAGAACACGTTCGAGAAAATAAAACTTTTTATTAACAAACATAATTATATTATATTACAATAAAATTACATCTAAACAACATGGCAACAGAAATGAACAGCAGTCATTTAATGTAAAAAAGACAGAACATTAACTAGCAAGGTTACAGTTTACAGAGACATACAATGTTAAAGAAGTAACATCTATGTTACAAATAGGAAAGCTCCTCAAGGTTTAAAGGCATTTAGCACTTTGAAAATTGAATGCCTCTGAGTGGATTAATTCTTTTTCTCTTTTGTATTTTAGTAATAGATTGTCTCTAACACCAGAAGGTTAATTCTATCAGTTGACATTGTAGTAATATGAATTGTTTAGCTCCCAGATGGTTAATTCCTTCTACTTCTATTTTACTATGATTAAAGTATCTATTCCCTGGGTTAGGTAATTCCTTTTAACTTGAATTTTAGTTATAAGAATCATCTAGTAATATGACTTTTGAATCAAGCACTGGGAGACATTCGTTGGAGACTAAGTAATCACGAGCAGACAGACACACACGTAAGTTAATAACCGTAGCAAAGGTCTTCATTCACACTATGTTTAATTAATGTTTAAAATAAACACTGCAAACTCCGTTCTGGATTTCTGGTACTTTTTTTCAGCCACAACACAAAGTTCCCAGTCCGGTCAGTGTACTTTGTAGGGGAGCTGAAGATCGTACAAGAATCCCATAGATGAGTTTCATGTTATTTATTTTGAACAATAAACAAAAATTAACTTCTCTAGCGATAACAACATTTTATTAAACATTAACACCGGCCTTGTGGGTGCCTTTTGCATGTGAGGTTTTTCTCTTATATTAAAGATTTAGCACTTCTAAATTCCATTTAGTCCAGATATAGACACGGCACACATTGCTTTTGAAAAAGAAAATGAGAAATAGTGCGTGTTATGTATAAAATGGGGAGTGCTCAACTTTAGGCTGTTTTCTGTGACTTTTTTTTATTTGTGTCTCTATAATCCCTAATACCAAAATATCTTGTGTTACTTCATTTTTTGTTCCATTTTGGTTCTTATTTCGGTTAAAAAATGTGTTGCTCCCCCGCTTTATAATAAGAGAGGTGCAGGAGCACAACTTTCTTTCCTATGATTTTTTTCGCCACTGTCATATTTTCAGAAACAGGTAAGCATCTTTCATGGTCTTCCTTTTTTAGATCTTTTCTATATTATCTATTTGTGATATTTTGTGACTGTACCAAGGGTAAAATCTTCGGGAAAAAAAGAAAAGAGGCAAAAACAAAAAGTCTGAAAGAGGATTAAGATGTGGTAGAAAGACAGATAATTTTGGCGCATTATAGAAAAGGCAGGACAAAAATGTCACGATGCAAAAAGATTGAGTAACAAATATATACATAAGAAAACGGCGCATGAATATAAAACTAAAATGTAAATGTTGAAGCAATTGCAACAATCTAATTCCAATTCTTTCTGTTTCTTCTTTTTTCTTTAGTTGACTGCCAGATGAAAAAAAAAAAAAAAACAGAGCTTATAACAATGACTGGCAGGGAGCTAGGGTGGAGGCCCCCAGTTGCAGAACAGAGATTGTTGTCGATACATTAAATTAAATTTTTAATATTTCACAAAACACATATTTGTAAAATCTAAGGGATAAGTAATCATAACATTAAAAGTAGTAGGATGTGAAAATTTACCTTGAAGTATCAACAAGTAACTTTAAAAGAGATATGATATACACATTATTCCTGCATTTACATTTTACCTACACAAGTCCTGGAAGCACGTGGGGATAACAGTGCTTGACTGCTATACATTAAAACCTTGCTCAGCAACAATTAGCTGAGCTATAGGACAATAGGGAAACCTATGACAGACACTCTACATGCACTTATCTTCTTTATGTCTCTCATGCAGAGAATTCTATATTTTATATTTTACTTCTGTTTTTGCAGCCCTAGCCACACAATTCCCCTGGCTTTGATTGACACAATCTGCATGCATGAAAACAAAATGGTTTCATTTTCAGTCAGATGTAACTTACTTTAAAAGTTTTTCCTTCCTGCTCTGTAAGTTGAACTTTATTTACACACAGGAGGCTCCTGCAGGGTCTAGCAAGCTATTAACATAGCAGGAGATACGAAATTCTATATTAAACAGAATTTGCAATGGAAGAAGTGGAAACATTGCAGGAAGTGTTTAGGAAGGCTGTATAAGTCACATGCAGGGAGGTGTGACTAGGCTGCATAAACAAAGTGATTAAACTCCTAAATGACAGATAATTGATCAGTGAGACTGCACGGGTATGATCTAGACACCAAAACTGCTTAATTAAGCTAACATTGCTTTGGTGACTATAGTGTCCCTTTAAGGTTAAAGAAAAGTAAAACAATACTCTTTTTACAAAGCACCAAAGCACACTGAATATTGTTAATACACTGTAAAAGTAAAATGTGTGGCATTTTAATGTGGAAAGGAATGGGTTTTTGTTACAATAAAGAACAAAAATCAGAATTGTATGTTGCAACATTAAATTTATATTGACCTGATTGCTACTGAGTAGATTACCAGATTTGAAGATTAAAATCAATGTAAATTACTCACAGAAAAGGTACAATATAAAACGAATTCCATATACATTTCAAAACAAATGAAAGCCCTTATAAACACAAACCAGGAGTTTAAAATAGAAACCTTTTCATAGATTGAGCCTTTATTTAAGATAGAAGTCAATCCCTAAACTGTTCAAATAAAGTGCTACTATCTATCCCATCTGTGAGATTTCTTTTTCTCCAAATGCAGAGAAGCATGCTTTGATTATTTGCACCCTTAAGTCGTCTGCACACAGATCTCCTGGTTGTAAAATGTTTACTTAATGAATAATATCAACAGTGTGCACATTGAGTTTTCCATTGTGCTTCTGGCTCTTGCAAACAGAATTAAGCACTGGGAACAAGGTGGCTCAATAGCTGTAAGTGAACAGTCATGTCACCGGAGGATTTCATAAGCCTAGTTTATGTTTTAGAAGGGATTATCCGAATTTCTTCTGAACTGGGTCGAATGTTCTTTTATCCATGCGTTAAAGGACCTCATTGAGTAACATGTATCTAATAAGATCCCTTCACATATGTTCAATTTCACCACTGAGGGATTCCCAGTTTACTAGAAAATCAGCAACATTTATGTATCACAATGTATTTGGAGCGCTATGGCAACCAAACACTTAACTTTGTGATATCCAGAATGGCATAAAGACATCTATGTGGCTTATCACTCATAACATGACCATTGAGATGGCATCAGCAGCAGCTATAAGAACATTAATTCACACATCATATACTTTTTCATCAATATCTAGAGCATAATTGATTTTCCCCTGAAGTTGGTTAATGGAGACTTTGCGAAGTATGTTCCACCCACTATTCGATCGGCTTCTGGATACTCTTCTGATGGAAGGAGGTGTTATATTTGATGGTGGCTTCTCAGTGTGGGGATGATGAGGTCTGTCTTCAGTATATTCAGACTTCATTGACTGTCCATCTCCACAATCATCATCTGAGGTTTGGAATGCATTTACATATTTTTTAATCTTTCGCTTGTCCAAGTCCTTGCGTTCTTCAACTCTGCCAAGAGAAATGGTAAAAAATATTAACACATTTGTTGAGTAGATCAATCCTACCAGGGTTGATCTTTATGAAATTATCTTTAAAGTTAAAAAAGTAAAACAGAGCACTCAGTTGGTGCTGGCATCGATTTTTTTTTTTTATGTAAGGTTTTAAAAATAGCTTTACAATTTTTTTCCAACCAAGCCTCTGTAGAGTATTGCTGTTTTATCCCTGGAGCAAAAGGAAATTGGGTGTCACTGACTCAGTGCTTGTTAAATGTTTATGTAGAATCAGAGTTCAGAGCCTCCTTAGAACTAATATTTATACATGAATAACATATAGGAATCTCCAAATTAAGATGCTAACCTATTTTCATTGTAATGAGAAGTATTTCAAAGTACCATTTAAGTTACTGGGAGAACATCAGAGAAGATAAACTTGACAAGTAGACTGTGCACTTACCGTAGAAACCAGCGGTCTCCTAGCCCATATTCTTTTCCACAAACTCCTAAACGTGGCCAAAGAGTTTTGGGCATTTTTCTTTCTAGCATTATAGTTGTGGCTACAATCTTTGAAGAAGAAAAAAAATTAAATTCATAAGATTTGAGAATTTTGATCAAAGTGTCAACAGAATAAACTGTGTCAAATGCTAGAGATGAAAATCTTATGGAAGTCTTAAAGACAAAAATTACACTTGTGTTCTAGTTATAGTATGATATATGATGAAATGAGAATACTCCATCAACATTAATAAGACATCACAAAAACATTTACGTTTTACCACCATGAAAACCGAAAAATTAAATCAGGATAATCCCAGCAAAAGCCTGCATCTCATTCCAAGGCAATGCACATTGCAGTGGCAACACTCAGAACACCATATTGGTGATGGTGGGGCACATAAGATATGGCAGTGAAAACTGGGATGGGGGTACTAATAATGTTTACTAGGGAGCGGGGGTAATGTGCCACCTCTGAATTAGAGTGAATATAGTGTAAGCAAACACATAACATCTGGAACTGAATGATGACATTTGCAAATTTATTATTTGATGCAACAGAACTGGTCACCATCAGCCTCAAAATGCAGGTAAATAGAATTAAGAACATTTGTTGCACACAGAGAGTGGAAAAATTCTATTACCAGATACAATATTGCAGAAATCAGTCACTAGTACCATTTATAGCTAACATCGAAGGAGAAAGGTTAACTCAATGGAGGGTTACAATGTACATTATATTTTACATTTATATTATATAATAATTTTAACCTTATGTAATAATCAATATTTTGTTACTTTTTTTGTATTTTAATTATGTCTGCTGTCAGCTTGGCTGTTAGTAGTCAAATATAGCGGATGGAATTATTTTAGAAATGTTACTGGGTTTGTTCAGAGGGAATCTTACAATACAATATATGTACAATATATGTGAACATCCTATAAGAATGACTTGTTTTCATGTCTTCTGGAGCATGCTTATTGCATTTCTGCGTAAAATAAAAATATGGGTAAAAACATTTTCCTCTATTATAAAACCAAGTCTGTAAATGTACAGCAAATCCATGGAGAAACACTCAATTTATTCACCATCTGACAGCTAATTAGGCTACTGGCGCACATTCAATGCCTTCCAGATACAATTCCCTGTAGTGACTATGATGCCAGGAGTACCTTGGCCCAGTCCCCTGGTAATAGGCAAGGTAATGGTTTAACTTGTTGCCGGGTTCCTTGTATTCTCTCATTGCTGTAGAAGATGGAAGCTGATCTAGTTGCCATTAATTGGCTAAGAGCATAAGCTGACCACTCTCAGCCATTCAATACAATTCTGTGCACAAATATTTAAACAGAATTGACATTAGACAACACAAATTTTATTTCTAGTTAACTAATGATGCTCCAATCATGCTACCAGAGGTGGAGTTACACCTCTGGTATCAGAGGGGTTAAACTCTGCATGGCTCCAGGCACCACGATCACTTCAAATCACTGAAGTGGTCATAATGCTTCAAGTAACCCTTTAAAGAAGTAAAACAGAAAAAAGAGACATGCATCATACTTTTCACACTGAAAAATGATGAGTATAATATCAGTGAAATATATATATATTTTTTTATAAATTTGACTTCAGTGTGGGAAATTGACCAACAGATGAGTTTTTAGATTTTTAGTTAGGATGTTTCTCTCATGCCTTGCACGCACACGAAATAGACTGGAATGTCTTACCTGTGCCCTCCACAGCTCATCCTGTTCGTGTGAAACCCGCCAGTGAGTGTCTCCCATCATAGCAATGAGAAGGTTGAGCATTAGAAGTGCTGCAATGATTGCAAATGCAGAATACATGAAGCTAAACATCAGCGGCAAGTTCACGTCATAGTTGGCAGGTCCATCAATGAGTGTGAGGAAGAGCTCAAAAGTGCTGAATATGGACATGGGGTAAGTCATGAACTGGCCGAGCTCAGAGGAGTCTGACATCTGGAAGATCACAAAGAATGCTAGGGAACAAATAAAAGATGGGAATGAGCAACCAACTTCACCAACTCACTGATCACTTAAGATAAATGATGGTACCCTAAACACGTTATGATATAAACAGCTTTATCTTAAAATGACATAGAATCAAACTTCATCCATACATTGTGCTCTGAGATTTGCAAGCAAATGTATAGATCCATCGAGAATTAAGTAATAAAAACACTAACTGTGCTCTACATGTTTGCTAGCATGGAAATCCTCCTCTGGGTGGTTCTCCTGCTTGACTTAAATAGGGATAAAAGCAATTCCTGCAAACAGGGACATTGGCTGTTTATCAAATAGAGATATGCAGACCTGCTGAATTTAGCAGGCCTGATATCAGTTTGGAAGGGAAGGGATAGCAAATGGTTATTTCCATTGCGTAATTAGCATATTGGACAACATCCCCATTTAAAAAGCAGGAACCTCAATCTGGTGCACATGAATTCTAGCAAGAAAGGAAGCTCTGGTGGCAGCCAATCAGGACTCTCCATTCACTGAGGGTGGGTTTAGTACTCATGTACGGACTTAAAAATTAAATTAAATTTAAATCTTACTACACCACAAATGTGGTTAAAAATGTGCTCATTGTACACTTTCTCTCAGTTATCCCAAGTCTGGGTAACTCTGCCATGCTTTGGTGACAGAGAAGACATATCGTATGTGTTCGGTAGATGTAGGTATGCAGGCGAGGTTACAGCAAACGTAATGCCCACTGAAAACATGAAGGATTCTCTTTTATGTAAAATAAAAATGTGAGCTTTTAATAGTAATAAGGATAAGAAATCACTGAATTGCATAGCATGAGCCAGGCCAGAGAATTAGAAAACTGCAACCGTATCAGGCATGGTAAGTTTACTTTGGGTTTATATTTTGGGTCTATAATTCTGGTATCAAGAAGACCCATACAATATCCACAATTCTTTCAGGTTAAAGAGAACATACAGCTCTGTTCATTTTAGAAGATATGTAAATAATCTCTGTATAAACAGAAAGCACACTTTAGTAAATAACTCTGTGTGTATATAATTTAGCAGTTTAACACATTCTCCTTTTTTTCTTTTTACATCAGGTTTGAAAACACAACAAAACAAGAAAAAAACAATACATAACTCTCAAAAAGCCAGGCCTAAGTCCAGTGGCGTATACTTTTCAATATTAAATAGTGGTAATAATAAAGAGTAATAATGGTTTAAACAAGACACAGTAAAGTATACTCTTCACTCACCTGCTCCAAAACCAAGTATAACCACTGCCATAAGCCAGCAAAAACGTAAGAGATCGCCAAAGATCATCTAGAAAATAAATTGTGATGAAAAATTAGGATTGCTCAGCAAAACACATTTTTATTATTGGATATTTATCTCTAATAGATGCTGATCCATACCTTCTGGATCATGATTGTAAAGGGTCCAAGCATCTGGAATCCCCTTGTAAAATACATGACATAGCACCAGCCCAACACAAGAGCGATAGACATTGGGACAACTTCTCCATCGCTGCTCGTCACTCTCATAACCAATACTGACATCACCATGCATGCAAAGACGATTCTGAGCAGAGAAACATAGTTTTATCAGAACTAATTCACAAAAAAGGCTCAAAGTGAATTTAATGTCTATCTCATGACAATTATCAATGTGCAATTCAGACTATAAAGAATTGTGCAGTGGTTTATGAGAGAAGTGGTGGGTTTCAAAATTAGAAAATGATTCACCCATAATAATTGTGAGGTTATGAAATATGCATTGTAAGAGCGTGTGACTGCATGCACAGCCCAACTCAATTCAATATGCATTTTAAAAAGTGGTCACATACTACTGATTATTACAAGCACTCACATAATGATATGAAAAGGTCCTCCAAGAACCGTCTGCCCAAAATATCTGGTGGCACCAACTCGTAGGAGGTCTGGAATCTGTTAAAAATAAAACAAACAAAAAACATAAAATTGCATTTGTTAAAATATAAATTAACTATTTGGAACTATATAGTCCATACATCAAGAACATTACTCACCAATAGAAGCAATATGAAGATGGCTCCCATCACACTAATTAGTTCGCCAACCAGTCGCAGATCATCTTCACTGGTCACGTAGGCCTCCTAACAGAAAATAAAAATCACATCAGCTCACAAGTAGCACTTCAACAACAATAAAAATATAATCTACAGTTTTTACAGTTCTTCAGTCCCTTACGTGAATGGGTCTTTGCATGAAGATTGTAATATCACGTGTATCATTTAATTTTTTAGGAATAGGTTTTAGAGGTCTGTAAACACAACACATAGTCACACAGATTATGTATAGGACATAGAGAGCTGCCAAAAACCAGAAGTAGGGACGCCCACAGCCCCTCCACTTCAGGCTAACAAGTTCCTTCACAGGAGTGAGATCTAGAATTTGCCGAGCCTATAAAAGGTTTGGGTGGAGAGACAAAAACAAGAAGGTTTTAAAATAACAGACACAAAGAATTGACTGGTTTGATATATGGATTAATCAATACAAATGGAAAGCAAAACAAACAAAGGAACATACCGCTCTTTTCTTGGAAGACACCACCAGCTCTAATACAGACTGATCTTCTCCCCATGAATCAATTCCTGACAGGTCATACAATGTAGAGTTAATAGGGCCAAACGTCCACTGGATCTTTTTACGTTTCATTATCATGTGTTGAAACATCTACATGTAATGACAGAGAGATAACAGAGGGAGTCATGGCAACATTTAAATTGTGTTTCATTATATTCTATGTGAATTTAAATCTCAAAGTGGCAAATAATTTAAACAGACCCACTGGGAAGGCTCATTTAAATGGAAGTTCAAGTTCAAATGTCTTCTGTTTTTCCAGTTTTAGGATTCTGTTCCCAGGGCCCGATTAACATAGGGGCTGATGGAGCTGCAGCTCCAGGCCGAGGCCTATGGAATTGGCCCATTTAAAAAAATAATAATAATTATTTTGTTTAACACACTACTCTTAGATTTGCCACCTGACTGGTATTTTAAGGCACAGCCTGGCCGTGCCTTGAGGCTGCCTGGCCGTGATGGTATTGCAGTAATACCGGCAATACAAATGCAAAATTTTTCTCAGTATAAAGGGAGATTACTCTGCAATACCAGCACTGGCCAGTAGGGGTTACTGTATATGGAGAGAGACAGGGATAGGAAGTTACAGCATACCCCTCCCTGCCTCTCTCTATTCACTGATCCGCGGGGGAGCAGCTACACAGCACAGAGAGTCCAGACAGCAGCTCCCAGCCTGCAGAGACAGCCTACAGCTCAGGGAAGTGAGGGATGAGGGGAAAGGGAGACATGAGGACACTGAGACACTGGAAGACATGGGGACACTGAGACACATGGGGGACGCTGTGAGACATAGGTGAACATATTGGGACACAGAGACACTTGGGACACATAGTGTTAATTTTGGCGGCAAATTTCAATTTAGTTTTAGTCATTCAGCCATTTTAGTTTAATCATATTTTAGTCATCTGCATTGTTTTAGTTTTAGTCTAGTTTTAGTCGACTAAATCTCAAAAAATATAGTTGACTAAACTTGACTAAAATTTTGTCGACAAAACTAACTGATCTGCATGTGTGTCAGTGTGTGTATCTGTATGTTGTCAGTGTGCCTGTGTATCTGTGTATCTGTGTGTTTCTATGTATACATCTCAGCATTCAAACTCTAACACTTCACACATACACCCCTACTTTCAAAGGCAAACATTACACACAAGTAAACCACTGCTTTCAAATGGCAACAGCACAAAAAACACACAACATTACACACAAATACATTCCTACATTCACACACAGATACTTTATACAAAAACTTACATTCAAACATACAAACACTGCTCTGTGTGAAGTACAATCCAGCAGGGATGGGCAAATGGTAGATCCCCAGCTGGCAAAGCATTGTGTCAGCTGAACAACATCTTTGCAATCAGCGGTGCCTCCCAAAAACTATTTCAACAGTGCCCTCTTTACTGTAGTTCCACCACTAAGTGCAAAGCATTCATATAACAACACAGGGGAATAATATAACAGAGGCAAACTTAAAGGGTCACTATAGTTATTAGAACAACTACAGCTTAATGTAGTGGTTCTGGTGTCTATAGCCTGTCCCTGCAGGCTTTTTAATGTATGCGCTGCCTCTTCAGAAAGAAGGCAGTGTTTAAATTACCGCCTAGGATCACCTGTAGTGGCAGTCACTCAGATCTCCACTAGAGGTGCTTCCTGGGTTAGTGCTGCGCAGTGTGTAGCACTTATGTTCAGTGTCTCCACGCTCTGCATGGATACGCTGAATGCTCCCCATAAAGATTTATTGATTCAATGTATCTCTAGGAGGATATGCTGACTGACACAGCACAGCGTTTTGCCACGTATGTTCAATAGCCTCCCATTGGAAAGCATTGGATTGGCTGGGATCGTTAAATTTAATGATCTCAGCCATGGAGGCAGAGGGGGACTGGGGACCTAAAATGTGCTCTTGCAACTATAGTGTCAGGAATACATGTTTGTATTCCTGACACTATAGTGTTCCTTTAACATCCTAGACCCCATACTCAATAGCAGGACAGCTTGAGCTCTTTCTACAATGTATCAGCTATAGCACCAATAACAACATACCTCCATGTAAGCCAATTATTTTGCTATGTAGCCTACAATTTACAATCCACTTGTGATATTGCAGTGTCCCACTCAGGGCCCCTATCCACCATGACAGCCTCTATTCCCCAAATTCATCCTCTATGCCCCACTACAGCCTTTCTTCTCCCACTGCATCCCCTACCACGTCACTACAGCTCCTGTTTCCCAATTAGAGCCATTGTCTCCCCACGACAATCCCTATTTCTCCACTACTGCCCCTATCCCTCATGACATTCCCTAACCACCCAAGCCCCACACTACAATCTCTATCCCCAATTACAACCCCTATACCCCACTACAGTGTCTATTCCACCATTAGAGCCCCTGTCGCACATTAGAGCCCTTATCTCCGCACTAAAGCACCAGTCCCACATGCTACAGCTCCTGTCACCCACTGAAGCCCCTACTCCCCCCACATTACAACACAAGAATGTTTCTGTAACACAAGAATGTATATGTAGGTGGTGCGTGTATGTCTGCATAATGTATATTTGTGCAGCCTGCAAGATAGTGGGTTGCCCAGGGGCCCCATGAGTTTTCAGCCCGCCCCTGCTAGTGTCTCAGTGTCCCATGGCTCCCAGTGTCCCTATGCCTCCCAGCCAGTGTCCCTAGTGTCTCAGTGTCCCCATGGCTCCCAGTGTCTCCATGTCTTCCAGTGTCCCCAAATGTCTGTGTCCCCATGTCTCCCATTGTCCCCATATGTCTGTGTCCCCATGTCTCCCAGTGTCCCTATGTCTCCCAGCCAGTGTCTGTGTCCCCATGTCTCCCAGTGTCCTTATGTCTCCCAGCCAGTGTCTGTGTCCCCATGTCTCCCAGTGTTCCTATGTCTCCCAGCCAGTGTCCCTAGTGTCTCAGTGTCCCCATGTCTCCCAGTGTCCCTATGTCTCCCAGCCAGTGTCCCCATATCTCTGTGTCCCCATGTCTCCCAGTGTCCCAGTGTCCCAGTGTCTGCGTCCCCATGTCTCTTTGTCCCTAGTGTCTGTGACCCCATTTCTCCCAGTGTCACCAAATGTCTGAGTCCCCATGTCTCCCAGTGTCTCCATGTCTCAGTGTCCCCATGTCTGTATCCACAAGTGCCCCCATGTCTCCCAGTGTCCCCAAGTGTCTCAGTGCCCCCATGTCTCCCAGTGTCCCTAAGTGTCTCAGTGTTCCCATGTCTCAGTGTCCCCATGTCTCTCAGTGTCCCCTAGTATCCACGGGACACACTGAGACATGGGGACACTGGGAGAAATGGGCACACAGACACTGGGAGACTAGGGGACTGGGCGACATGGGGACACTGACACTGTGATGCATAGGGACACTGATGCCAGGCTGGCCTTCCAATTCTTTGGACAGACATACCCCCTTTTTGGGCATGTTCACCCTTTTTGGCAGTTCTGGTCATGTGATTCGCATAAGTGGCCTACTCTTTTACCCTGCCAATTGTCTTCCTGCTTCACTGGACACTGCTGTTGGTATGGATTTACTTGAAAAATTAAAGCATAAATTAGATAAAGAGATTAGCTTAGAGTATGTGTTTTCTTATAGCTGCATCCTTTGAGTTTCCCTCCAACACCAACTCCATCAGATACATGACGCTTGAGAGGTCTGACTGTTTTAGTGTTTTTGGTCGATAGATTCTGTAATTAGGCCCCATCATAATTGTCAGCACCAGGCCCACCGGGCTCTTAATCCGGCCCTGTCGTTCCAAAAATTTGTTCTACAGCATTCATACAGGGTATCTCAGTGAGTGTAACTTGTCCAAAATGTAAAGTGTTTCAAGTGTTGTTTGTTAAAATATGTGTTTTCGAATAGATGTTCAAGTCAGCCGTTTTAAGTTTGTCATTTTTGCCAAAAATTAAATGATTGGGTTGATGTTGGAAAATTGCTACATAGCTGCAGATCTGCGTATGTTGTAAAATATTTTTTTTTAAATTATAATATAAGGTAATTATTATTAATGTATTGTTTAAAATATGTTCTTTCTTTAAAAGGTTTCCTATGAAAATTATTCTCCACCAAAAGATTTGTAGAAAATAATGTATACTTTACAGCTAACAATATGACACTATAACTTGTCTTGTTGAACAAAATGTGTTTCTCTTAAACCCATGGATCTTATAAGAAACTTACCACAGTGTTTCCTTCAGAAGCAGCAAGTTTGAAAGCAGTGAGCCCCATGTTATTTTGAACCATCTGAAGACTCTCATCCCCCTCTCCTTGGTCATAGGATAAAATCAGGTCAAACATCTGGCAGGAAAAGGTTTGATTAGGCTGAAGGGCCAAGATGTGTAGAACAGTGTTGCCTAAGGATTAGATATTGCCAGGTTAATTGCTTGAAAATATCCTTTCTACTGAAGGTTTCATCTCAGAAGAAGATGTTACTGCAATTTTAAGAGATTTGGGATTATTCTTGGGTTGAATCCCAAGCTCATTCTCATATTTTTATTCCATAACTCACCATAAGAATCCTGAACTCCTATGTCAGCACCGCTGTCTATAAGAAGTCGGACTATTCCCTCATTTCCAACACAAGCAGCAAAGGTCAAAATGTGCTCCCCTGGAATGGATAGACAGACTATTGAAAGTCTAAGACTATGTTTACAATTTAAACATATAGTCCCAGTGTGGAACTAAAGATTCAATGCATTACTGTGAGGTAGGTTCCATGGGTGATATTTATAATAGTGTTCTGTTCTAAAAAGTGCTACAAAAAATATAAAAGGAACGGAGTCACCAGTGAAATGTCCCTGCTGATTCCATTGGTTCCCATGCAGACTGCACCATTTCTAGCCCTTCAGACCACTTTTTTGAATTGAACACTGTGATAAATCTCCCCCAATGACTGACACCATAGCTTGACAGGCACTTACCATAGTAAAAGAGATTCTCTTCACTGTGGACAAAAAAACTTCCTGTGGCTCGAGGAGAGCAGACATCAGCGCCATTATCAATCAGCATCTTTACTAAATTCATGTTCTGATTGACGGCAGCAATGTGCAGAGCAGCCTGCCCTGTAATAATGTGTCAATGGGAATATCATAAATAAAAAGAAGAAAGATGCACAAACCGTGTTACAATGAAAAGAGATCTGGATTGTTAGATGATACATTTTGAGGATATGCAGTGAAATACGTTAGCGAGACATGGTGAGGGAGAAGGAAGTTACAAAACAAAAACATACAATTAACAGACCAATTGTAAAAGTTTTATTAAGTAAGTGATTTTCTTAAGGAAATGAGTCTAGGGGAAAGTCTAATATAGCAGAAAAGGGAATTCCAGTGTGTCTCCAAAGAAGTCATGAAAGTATAAGCAGTGGACAGTCAAAGGCCTTCTGCAGCATAGAGGGACATGAACTGGACATACCTATTTAATTGTGAAAATATGTAATTAGGGGTAGTGTTATTAACTGATTTGTAAATGTGACAGACCTCTCTGTCTTTGCATTACTTTTATTTTTCACCTTGGTTCGTCTGTTTGTTCGATAATTTCCCCTTGTCCGTACGGCCCCATGTGTTATTCTCTGCATACAAAAGAACTACCGAACGGCAGGCCACCCAGCAGGGAAGTGTGCTGCTTGTTAACCTCTTGCCCTTATTAGAACGTTGTGGTTAACTGCAGACACTTTCCACTCTCGAATGGTCGGCTGGGTGGTCATCGTTCATATGAACGAACACGTGGCGGCGGCCATCTTGGACAGTCGAACGCATAGCGGTGTTCGTCGACAAATCTATGGAACTAAAACTGGACACTATTTCATACGAACACCGCTGAAGCTGCCGACCCCTCTTCGTTCTGTCCCAGGTTCATATGAATGCCGTGCCATTCGGTACATTGACTATACGAACAGAGCTTCCCCAGATAGCCATCTCATGGAGCATTTGACGAACGCACGCTGTACAAGACTTTAGCTCCATGGCGATTTAACTGTGTGTTTAGAATCTGAGCACTATCCGGTGATATTGTGCACTCAGATCTAAGCTATCTGGGGATACGTTGAATGTGGGGGTTTTGTTCGGTAATTGGGGAATTATATATTATAAGAAATATTAATATTCTATTAACTGGAACAACAAGACTTTCAAGTGAGGAAGGTAAAACTAGTGGTAACTCACTGGTTAAATAAAAACTAAAATAAATGCATTTTAAATACTTTTGACAACAGTAACATGCACAGGATCTTACCTTCATAGAGATCAGAGGTCATTGCTTGATTAATCAGATCAGGTGCTTCTTCAATTAATATCTCTGCAGCCTCCAGGTTATCATATAATGCAGCCACATGCAAGGCAGTCTCTCCCACTGCACCTGGAACCACAAAATGCAATGTGAAGTAGAGCTTTGGGTAAGACTGTTGGCTGTGTGTGATTAATGTTAACTCACTTGACAGGTATTTGTGGAAGATTTGGAGAAGTTAAAAATTATTAGTCAAAATAGATGAACTACAAGCATTATGTAGCTGAGCTATTTTTTCACTTGGTTATTTCGTACCACAATCTTATCTCCATTGTTAATTTTCTACAATTCCCAATTTAACAAAACAAAAAAAAAGCAATGAAAAGTTATTATTTATTTCACAACAGTTCAATTCTGTAAAGCCATCCTTATGTTTTATGATATATATATAGATATATATATTTAAATATTAATGTGATGAAATTTCAGTTGCAGGGAGTGGCAACTAATCCTCATGCAAATCTCTGGATATATACATATTCATTAATTACTCCTCCGAACTGAACTCCTTGAATTTACAATTTCCTGAAAGAATATTTGAGGTTAGATTAATTTGTGATATTTTAGAAAGTTATATTACGAGTGAATTATTTATGTATATTAAAATTTTGAGAGGAAAAAATAGATGTTTTATGGACTGATTCTTTAGATTACATTTTATAAAGTGAACACATTAAATTTAAGAAAAGTAGTTGGAAGTTGCAAGCGAACATAAAATTATGTGGCTTATTTTTCTGTGAGATCATCAGGACACACCTCGGATGTATAGGTCAGTAGAAGGACATTCCAAAAGCTTCTTAATAGAGCCAACATCATTCTCTTTTGCAGCAAGAAGTAGGGGGCACTCATAAATTCTGTTGGAAAAGAAACTAATTCAATCTGTGTGGCTATAAAACACATAAAACGTACAGATTTTTTATCACCACAACTTTACGTCTAGCTAAGTTACTGAAAGTTTATTTTATACCCACAAGATGGCCCACCAAAGGGCTTATCTGAGTTCCTTGCAAAGTGTAAAGTACATAGTCTCTAACTACAAAACCTTAAGGAGACTAGGGACTGTGCACAGGTTAAATGTTATACATAATACAAAATATATTAAGACATATACACAATTAAGGAACAGAGAACTCAGTGGATTTATAATCTAGAATCTGTAGCATATTTATATAAAGTGCATAACGATATGACCCGTGAATGTAAACTTCTATTAAAAACACTTTGATAAAGCCTCTATGGAGAAATTGCTTTTACTTTTGTGTTTTGTACTTGCTATTGTTTTGATTATTACATTGTTTTAAGAGAATAATTTTTCAAATAAATGAGTTTTTTAATCTTCATTCCTGGACATAACCTGACTGTTTCATTGACTGCAAACAAATCCCTTTGGTGGGGGACATTCCAAATGCTATGGACTGAGCAAAGTCCATTTTTGCTTCACAGTCGTGACTTGTGAGTAACTCTCATATCTTTTTATACTTTTACCTAATACAGCGATCACAATATTTTTCATTCTGTTTTTATATAACACACCACAAGAGTCTCTGCAAGCAAATTAGACCCTAGGGTGGGGATTACACCACCTTATGTTGTTTTCTAAGAGCCAGTGGGAGGCTCATTACACTATGGGTATATTTCCTTTACTTTAATTTCACTACTACCTCACAATATACTACACTATATTTGTTTTGCTATTGGAGTACTTATTAGTGGACTTGGAGAACACATCAGATATTATACCACCAAATCGCGTCATAGTATTGCTCATTTACACTCTACATACTGTTAGTGCATTTCCTTCTTTCTTTTATATATTGTAATATAGAACTATTACACTATATTTTGCTTTACTCTTCCTCTTATTTTTTTTTTTTACACATAGCTTGACGTCTGAGTACTTCTGAAATTCACTACACCATCCTTTTACTCTCCACATAAGAAAGGAAATGCCTCAGCTGTCAGAGAAAACAAACATTACTTGCAGTCTACATACCAACCTCACTACCTATAAAACTAGCTAATGCAGGACAGTTCCTAGTACATATTTTAATGCTTTCATTGATGCTCTGTTGGATGCTAACACATACCGCTGATTTTGTTATGCCCTAGATCAGGGGTAGGCAACCTTTTAGCAGCACTGTGCCGATATAGGATTGTGATGTCCTGTAGCGTGCCGATCCTATTTTTTTTTTTTTTTAATTGAGGTGTGTATGCTGCCGTATTCTGATTTTGTTATTTATACTGTAATTGCTTTGTATCGTTGTACTTGTGCGTATATGAGCTATTATATTGTATATGTTCATGAGTAGATTGTGGTATCGTGTATGATACATATGAATGTGGGCTGTGTATGGGGGCAGCTTGTGGAATTGTGTGTGTGATGGATATGTCACATTGTGTGTTTAGTAGTGTGTGTATGTGTGAGGGCTGTTTGGGGTATTGCATGTGAGGGGCTGCATGTGGGGTTGTGTGCACGTATGTGGATTGTTAGTGGTGTTGCGTTTGTGCGGATTTTGTGTATGTTTGTGCTGATTGTGTGTATGTTTGTGTGTGGGCTGTCTGTATTATTTGTATGAGGGGAGGGTCTTTCTGCATTTATGTGTATATCTAGCACTGTGGCCTAGGATTAACAAAGTTCCAGTAGGGACCATGTTGGCCAGGTACAGGTCAAGGACCGGAGCTGCAACAACAACTGCGAGCTGCTCTACTACTGTGTGGATTCCCATTCACAAGTGCTGGAATGAAGTGCTCTGAGATCACTTCTTCTACGTGCTGCAATGCATAAATTGAGGATTGTCCTTCACCACCTCTTTTTATTAGCAGATATCTGAAGTTTTACTGGGACTCCTGATAGGCCAGAGCCTGTTTGGCTCTAGCAGCCTTGAGTGCCGTGCAAAGGCACCTCGAGTGCCGTGCATGGCACTAGTGCCGTAGGTTGCCTACCCCTGCCCTAGATCATGGGTATCCTACCCGCAGCCTGGGACTGCTAACAGTGCAGTCAGGTGGTGAGGGAGGCAGGGAGCTCTTTACATTATGTGCTCCTTCTGGGCAGCTTCCTTGTGCACCCAGCAGTGAGCTGGTTGTTGGGATATGAAGTCATCCTGGCATCAAGATCAGCAGCAACCGCTAGTCACCAGGGATAGAGTATCCATTCCAGCCCTCCCAGAGCAAGGTAGGGAAGCTGGGTGGACCTCTTAAGTTCTAAATGTGTATAAATTTAATTTTTTAAAGTTAATTCTTTATTTTTGTTTTCAGTGCATAATGTTAAGTCATAACATATCCGTAATGCCATATAACATAATAACACATAAGCGGGTAATCAGTAAGGCGCAAAGCATACATGGCTTATAGAGGGTTTGTACTTTTATGGAGTGGCCTAGGCATTCATAGGGATCTGTCCAGAGCTATGTGCTTTAATGTTAAAATGGGCTCAACATGGTTGGGCGGGAGTGTTCGGTGGTTTAGACAAGTTGTGTTGAAGGTACCACCTGCGAGGATGACCATGTTTAGTTTATGGCTGCCTATGTCAAGAGGCGTAGTGGCTAGTACTCTGGACTCTCAGAAATTATGTTAAGTTTCAGCAAGTTCGAGTGTAGATCTAGTGTGGTAGTGGTCTGTTCTGTATGGGCTAGGGATGTAGGAGAGCGAGAGCAATGGTCCACTTCAGGTAAAGACAAGTACGGGAAACCTGTCAGTAGGGGGTACACTTGTTGTGTCGCCTGCTCGCTTCTGTGCTGGCTTTACTCAATATTGGGATATTGCACACCCCAGAGCTAACTTGTATTACCCAGCCAGTGTAGGCTTGGGTGATTCTAACATTGAGTAGGTGATGCTTTGGCGTCATTGAGATGAATAATGTATGCACTGATAGATTTTAACTTTAAATGATGTAAGAAAAGAGAAAAGAACAACACTGACAACATAAACAAAAGACTGATTGTGTGGATGGCTGAGGCTTCACGTCGTGGACCCTGGTTGTGCGTGAGGTAGTCCAGTGGTGTTGTTGGTCAGCCCCATCGTGGCAAGCAAGGCAGAGCCCTCCCCCAGGTCAGAGGCCTTGTAGGATTTATCCTCTTTGGTTAACCATAGTGCTCTAGGGGTTGCCCACCTGCTGTTTGTAGGGTGGTGGTTATGGTCTGCATGCTCTTGCGTCATGATAGTGTGGCTCTGCTTAGGTCTTGAAAAAAGGCGATTTGATGTGTTTCAAAGTTGTAGGGTGTTTTTCCTTTTCATAGCAGTAATTATGGCTATTTTATCTGTAAGCGTTTGGCATCTTAAGAAGAGGTTGCGGGGGTCCGCCTTTGGAGCATGCAGTGATTTGGCGATTCGATATATACGCCATCAAAGGAGAAGTGTTTTGCTTGTTTGATAGGTAAGAGGGAGGCCACTGGACACCTTATGAAGTGGGATAGTTCATCCAGCGGTACTGATTCTGGGACCTCCCTTATCTTTACATTCTTCCTCCTGCCCCTGTCATCTAGCAGATTAACTTGCCTGATGATAGTGGTCTGTGCGGTTTGCATCTGGGTAACTGTATCTCTCAGTGCATTTAGATCTTGTCGCAGGTCTCTCACCTCCCATTCTGTGCCTTGGGTGCAGGCTGTTACCACCTGTACTTCAGCGAGCCCCTTCAGGTCTGCAAGGCACATTTGCTGTAAGTTGTGTTGAAGTCGAGCCAGCGTGTTCTGAATATCCTGCTTGGTCGCAGGGGCTGATTTTCCTGTGGGGTTTCCCTGTTTGTGTTGGCTGTGGCCATCATCAGACCTCGTGGGTGAAGCCTCCATGGTGGCCTGGGTACATGCTGGTGTAAGCAGTATAAATGTAATTTTGTGTGTGTGTGTGTAAGTCAGTGATTGTGTGTGGATCTGTGATTGTGTGTGTTTATCTGTGATTATGTGTGTGTGTATGTATGTGACTGTGTGTATAGGTCTGTGATTATATGTGTGTGTGGGGGGGTCTGTGATTGTGTGTGTATATTTGTGATTGTGCATATTAGTCTGTGATTGTGTGTGTGTGTGTGTGTGTGTGGTTATGTGTGCATATGTATATACTTGTGCATGTGTTTAGTAGATAGCTCCCTAAATTGGTATCCTTGAGTACCAGGAGATTTTCTTTTTATTTGGTATCCTTAAATATGGCAATCCCACATAAGGATAGCACATAAGGTAATTATCTACTAAACAAATTTAAGAAAAGTGCTTTTGATGTTTTAACATATAAAGTTAATTATAGTATAATTTTATGTGCATCCCAAGACAATTCCTCTCCACTCCAGGGAAGTTAAAAGGTTGGACAACCATGCCCTAGACAGCTTTGGTACGGTCTGACTGTTATTTCATACCTGACCCTTGTGTGTTGCTAGCTTCATTTTTTATTTATTTTTTTGCTGAGTCTTTGTTTCCTTTCACCATTTTTTTTCAGTTAAAAAACAAAAAACAGAAAAGGCTATGAAAGATGAAAGAAATTGCAACAGCTTATTTGTGGTAGAGTAAGGAGTTTCATCTGTTTTCTCAATGCATGAATTTTTAAATCTTTACTGCATACTTTAAAGATTTAAAAGATTAAAAATAAAAGCTAAATATGGGGGGAGAGGGAGATATAAATGTTTTGTAGTCAAGGTGTTGTCATTCTATTAATGTGACAAACTTTACTTGTATTCTCTATTGGTGTCTATTGATTATATTATTACACCACACTAATTTTCAGTTTTTTGATGTCTTGTGTTTTCCAGTTTTTCAGAGTTGATGGGTGTAACAGCCCCCCCAGGCATAAAAGGGTTAAACCGCTGTTTAGAAGATCTTCCCCTTCCAGAGATACAGGCACAGCTACTGCAGAACACCAAACTCCCGAACTGCATACAAGGGAATGCTTCAAACTCCCGAACTGCATACAAGGGAATGCTCCAAACTCCCGAACTGCATACAAGGGAATGCTTCAAACTCCCGAACTGCATACAAAGTAGCACTCCAAACTCCCGAACTGGAACCTCACGAATAGCTGCTAGCAGACGAACAGGAAAAGCACCCAAGCGGCTTACACTCCTGGCAATCAGTCTCTAACAGCATACAGTAACTCCCCCCAAAGATGAGACAGAGCTCCGTGTTGAGGGTCAAGCAGTGGTGTGGCTTATTGAGGGCTACCTGCCCAGTATTTATGCAGGTCTCCCAGCTGGTGGACACTCCCATAGGGGACCAAATGGGAGACTGTGACAAAGGACAGACATGAACCAATGACAGACACACAGAGGTAAAACATCCCCACAATGCATCCTAATTCCCCTCCCTCTGTCCTGGAGATAATTGGGAAGTAATCCAATTCTCTCCCAGGACAGAGGCAAAACTCCATTAACCACATGGTCACAACAAAACACCAAAATACAATAAAATACACAGTTACATTTGTCACACAAAATATATACATGTAACCCATCCCCAGATAGCTGGGATCTGAGTGCACAAAAGTACCGAATAGCGCTCAGATCCTATGCACACAGTCCAATCGCCGTGGAGTTAAAGTGTTCACAAAGTCTGTTCTCTATGAGAATAAACTCCACGGGTTGGCTATCTGGGGTAATGCTGTTCATACGGTTTAAACTACCGAATGAACAGGCATCTGGTTAAATGACCGAATGCAGAAGCAAGGAGGCTGACGGCTCAGCGGTGTTCGCGCAAATAAGTGTCCGTTTCCAGTTCCATAGTTTGGGTGCTGAACACCGCTGACCACTCGGGACTTTAAAATGGCTGCCGCCACGTGTTCGGCAAACGAACAAAGGCCACCCAACATTTGTCAATTAAGCTGCAGTTAACCACAGCTTCTGGGAGGTAAATTGCCGACACACTCCCAATAGAGGTGGTCCAGTCAATCGGTTGTTTGTTCGGTAGATTGAATCTACCGAACACCGGGCAGAAAGGCACGAACAAGCCTTTTCTGCAGGGGAAAAGAAGGCTTTATAACATGGGGCCAAGGTCCAGAGGCAACAGGCGGGCAACCAGGCTTCTCCAATGCAATGTGGCGAGATTGGTCTCGTCACAATGGGGGTGCTAGTGTTATTGGGATAATCACTATTTCTGTGTGCGTTGACTGTTACTTTTATGCAGGTTCTCATTTAAGCTAGGAGATATTCATCTATCACTACTACACTGTGACATTCAGTTCTCCTGAAAAGAGAATTTTATACAATCTATGCTATAAGATCTTGTCATTGACTAGCAATGAATGCTACGTATTTCTGATTACATAAGTACATAATTTGTTGGGTTTCACCCTTCTGCCAACGTATGAAGCTGTAACAACATATAATAATCAGAAGTCAATATATACTCAAACACAGATTATAGGCTGCAGAATTTAATTAAAACATTAGTATACCATTGTTTTCAATCATATGCACTGCCCATTGCAGTGAAATACACTGGAATAGAAGAAAAAAACAAAAATCATGAATTGTGTTGATTCATAGACAAAATATAAAAATACTAGACAACACTTTAAAGAATCACTTTATTATAATAATATAGTAGGTAGTATAATTCTGTTCTCATGGTTGTTCTAATTTGGGGAGCTTCCACAGAGGAAAGACTCAAGGTGATGGTTCAATGGTTCTAGTTCTTAAAGCAAAACATTGTCTCTTATTTTTATTAACAGGAGGGGACTACCCTTTTTACCAAACATCATCTGTACACAAAGTTGTGTCTTGCCTTGCCTGGACACAGAGTCCAGTCATTTGAATTATGGGATACAATTAATATGAAATACTGTAATGGTATAGCTTGCATGTTTTTTTGTTATATGGAGAAAAGTTTGCTCAAATCAAAAATGCCAACTTTTTAATATATACATTCACACGCCAAACATTATTTTACTAGTAACACATCCTGTGAGAAAGAATTATAAAGAATAGGAATTGTGTCAATATACCAGATGATATTAAATAAATGAAATGTCAATATTAGAAGATGGAAAATAGATGTATATACAACCTCAGGCAACGTATGATCTTGGCATCAGACTGATCTAGCTAACAGAGTTCCCTGACTACTATTGCTAAATAAACATTTAATAAATCTAAAAAAAAAGTTATGGATTATTAACGCACACTGTCTTTTATCTAGAACATAAAAATATTTTTTAATTTTAAATCAAAAGTCCACACATGTCATATACAAACCATGGAGATTAATTCCTGGACTGTACAAGGAGAAAAGTTGCTACAAATACCAGACTTAAAATATATGAAACTCTGTTATTTCCATAGAATCTGAAATGTCTTGGCTGGATTGTGTTAAGTTTCGTATCACATGTAGGGTTGTAGCTATCCTAGAAGTCATGTTGAGGTAGTCCCATTAAATATATCCCCATCATTTTTCTGTTTTGTTTTTTTAAATTGTTTATTCATCTTCAGACAGAGAAAAACACATTTCAGCTCGTAACATTGGTTAATAGACAATTGGTCTTCGTTAAACATTCGCTTTTGACAATTGCCAGTTCTGTAACTAGCGAGCCAGAAGGCCCAAGACAAAAAGGGATACAATAGAAAAATTAAAGAGATCAGAAGGAGAAGAAAAAGAAGATAGCCACAGAAGGTTTTTTTTCAGTTTTGAATCAATTTTCATCCTGCTGATTGGTCCATTGTTGTCGGTAGCTACATTGAGTAATGAATGCATCATGTAGCTGGAACTTATTTTGGACCTAAGTCTATAGTCATAGTAGGGTACGTCTGAGAACCAGGATAATGTGAATTTTCTTTATTCCCTTCAGGCCACGAAAAAATATAATTGTCACGTTACCATTTATGATATTCCATTATTTGCACAGGAAAGTGAAAACATAGTAATATCCTGTGAAGAGGTACATGTGTATCAATAGCTATTAAAAATTATACTGTTACCATCAAATATTGAATAAATCTTTCAGAGATCCTGTAGCCTAGTACAGGCACTTCATGTGTAATTGACACTAAAATTCCTTTAAACTCCTGCCGTACCATTAGAATAAAGAACATCTATGTGACCTAGATGATTTTTACAGCAGGACATACCTATGTCAGTAAAACCACATGATAGCACTATATAGAGGAGTTTATTTTCTAAACCAACATTTGTATAAAACTGAAGAGGTAAATATTGATTTGGGGCCAAAACATTCAAATTAGAAAATATTTCAACTCCCTTATATTTTCAGTTTACATTTTTTAGTCTACAATTCTCCTCAGATTACCTTATAAGATTTTCTCTAGACAATACTGAATGCAAGTTAAAGGAACACTCCTGACAGGTGGTAGCCAACCTGGTCCCTAATGCCCACTAGTGGGCAATTCAAACTTTCATGGTGGGCAGTGGTGGGTTTACCTGCGACCCTTTGTTCTCCGGCACAGCCACAAGCTCTGCGAACACACATTCCTCCCTCAAGCCATAGAGAGAGACCTCACAAAAATGTCTAACACGCCTTGCATTTACGCCTCTGTTTGCTAATTCTCTCTCGATGGCTAAAAGGAAGTGCATGCTGCTGTCCATCCCAATCAGGACGGACTGGGTCGTGATGATGTAACATGCCAGAAGAGGAGGGGAGCTGATGTGCGTAATGTGAAAGCAGAAAAAGGAAGAAGCATGGCGTTTAGAGTAGCTGATATTGAACTTTGGCAAGCTTCATTCTGTTATTTTCTGTTTACTTGGTTTACTCAACATAAGATAAAAAAAGAAGGAAAAGAAAAAGAAGTAAAGGAAGTGGAAGGAAAGAATAAAGAGAAAGGAAAAAGAGAATGCTGATATATAGATATTCCTTTGTTTTATGTTTTGTTATTGGCTAATAATAAAGTCGACTACCTAGTTCAGCCTTCCTGCTGGTGATTGCAATAAGGAAGGAGAAAATAAAAGAATAAAAGAAAGGAGAAAAAAAAGAAAAAAGAAGAAAAAGTAAAAAAAAGAAAAGAAAAAAATAGAAAAAAAAGGGAAAAAATTTAAATGGGGAACATTTTATGGCGACATAATAAAAATGGTTACCTAATACAGTGTTGTTGTTGGTGTTTGTAATCAAAGGGAAAATAGAAAAAAAGAGAAAGAAAGCGCTGTGTGGAGTAGAGTGGATGGCATGTAGAATGTGGTAAGAGTAAAAGCAGTTGTTAAATTGTGCAACAAATTTAGAACCCATGTCTCAAAAAATAAAAAAAAATAAATGAAAGTACATATTTTTTAAAAACCCTCCTTTCTCAAAAATTTTTTGCACTTGTGCTAAACTATTGAGTTAATGCGGCACCGGTGAGTGGTAAAGATATTATACCATCAAAAAAGATACATAAGTAGGCGGTAGGTATTAAAAGGTTGAGTACCCCTTCTTTAGATTCTTAAACCCAAAAAATGCTTTATGAGTGAAGAGTGTGTTTTCTTTTTTTATTTTATAAAAAGTGCTAATTTCACTTTTATAGATTATTATTATTATAGATTATTATTATTATAGATTATTCTTGTTAAGCACCTGTGACATTTAAGCATACAACTGGTACTTTCTGGAGCTAGGTGAGGTGGGGTTAGAAGAAACAAGACATCTGCATCTTTTATATGTTTTTTTTTTTTTAGATATACCCCAGTGTAAAATGCATAATTAAATGCATTTCATTCGGGTATATATACTAAATGGTGTCTTTTTTTATTGTTTTTTGCTCTAATTGGTCATTGGAGTGTCCCTTTAAGAAAGAAAACTTACAATTTATAACTGGACTTAAAGAGTCAACAAAGTATGCATTGCTTTAAAGAGTAGTGGATGCAGAGAAAAGATACACCGGAGAGGAAGCAGAGACTTTGTAGGTCAAGTAAGCCAAGAAAATATTGGGAAAGCAATAAATCTGGGGATAATTTAAAAAAGACTTAATATTATTTGCTGAGATTTTCCAGCATATGGAGGAAAGAGCAATGGAAACAGTTGTCAGAAAACAGAGCCAGTTATGGAGATGTGCCAGCAGTCGAGTCATTAGCTTTTTCAAACCGGTTTTAAGTTGTGCATATTTTTATGACATTCATACCATTAAAAAAAAAAAAAGTGTGAGCTAAAGAGATGACCTGTCATAACGCAGAATGTAATTGACAATAAAAGGAACTATATAATATAATTATTTCCTTTTTTTTCTTTTTGTTCTGATCCCCTACTATTCAGAACTGGTCTACATGCCTTCTACACAGAGGAGAGTGGTGGTGGGTTGAAAAATAGAGATGAGAGGATAAGCATTAATTTGTGCTATTAAATCCATATCAGGAAAGATAGGTTCATTGAAATCAAATGAATGAAAAATAAACACTGTAGTTTTACGTTAAAGTTTACATATACAAGGTTATTCACTAAGCGATTGTTAAATCCCCCGACTGGAAAAAATTTCCACATCAACTATGTTTCCAGTTTGTCTTCTTTGGACTTAAATTCACTTTGAGATCACTTTCAATGCCAGACAAGTCTCACTTTAGTTGAACACTGACTGTTTTTCTCCCACTTCTGACTTCCTCTCCTACTCTCCTCACTTTGCACCCAGCAGTAGTGAAAAGCTAAAGTGTTCTTGCTTGAAACCTCCACCATCACAGCAACGTACATGGCAGTAGGAACTCCTTGAAACCTTACAGAAGCAACCATTCTCTAAGAAAATATGATGCCTTCTCTGAGTGAGAGTACATCAAACTGTGTGGATCTGCCAGAATAGTGTACATTCATGTGTAACTTGCACAAGGACTCTGGTGAGGTGGTCTTGACTAGGATTCTAGCCTATGGCAATGACAATGAGCAGAGAAAGTGTGCAGCATTGGAAAAAGCAGACAAAGTGTGCAGTAATGGAGCGAGCAGGCGATGTGTGCAGTATGGCAGAGAGCAAGCGATGTGTACAGTATGGAAGAGAGCAGGCAATGTGTGCAGTAGGAAAGAGAGCAGGCAATGTGTGCAGTATGGAAGAGAGCAGGCGATGTGTACAGTATGGAAGAGAGCAGGCGATGTGTACAGTATGGAAGAGAGCAGGCGTTGTGTGCAGTAGGAAAGAGAGCAGGCAATGTGTGCAGTATGGAAGAGGGCAGGCTATGTGTACAGTATGGAAGAGGGCAGGCTATGTGTGCAGCATGGAAGAGAGCAGGCGATGTGTATAGTATGGAAGAGAGCAGGCGTTGTGTGCAGTAGGAAAGAGGGTAGGCAATGTGTTCAGTATGGAAGAGAGCAGGTGATGTTTCCAGTATAGGAGAGAGCAGACGATGTGTGCTATATGGGGGAGAGCAGGTGATGTGTGCCATATGGGAGAGCAGGCAATGCGTGCCATATGGGGGAGAGCAGGTGATGTGTGCTGTATGGGAGAGAGCAGGCAGTATGTGCAGTATGGGAGAAAGCAGGTGATGTGTGCAGTATGGGAGAGAGCAGGTGATGCATGCAGTAGGGGAGAGAGCAGACGATGTGTGCCATATTGGAGAGAGGAGGGGATGTGTGCAGTATGGGAGAGAGGAGGCAGTAGGTGCAGTATGGGATAGAGCAGATGATGTGTGCAGTATTGGAGAGAGCAGGTGATGTGTGCCATATGGGAGAGAGCAGGTGATGTGTACAGTATGGAAGAGGGCAGGCAATGTGTGCAGTATGGAAGAGAGCAGAAGATGTGTGCAGTATCGAAGAGAGCAGGCGATGTGTGCAGTATGGAAGAGAGCAGACAATGTGTGCAGTATGGAAGAGAGCAGGCAACGTGTGCCGTATGGAAGAGAGTAGGTGATGTGTGGACTATGGGAGAGAGCAGACAATGTGCATAGTATGGGAGAGAACAGGTGATTTGTGCAGTATGGGATAGAGCAGGTGATGTGTGCCATATTGGAGAGAGGAGGCGATATGTGCAGTATGGGAGAGGGCAGGCGATGTGTGCAGTATGGAAGAGAACTTGTTTAACATACACTATTTCATACTCTTTTCCTCCTATCTCCTCTCATGTGATCTTGGTGTTTGCAACAACAAAGAGGAAGATTAAATAACATAAATATGAGAATAATGCTGTATAAACTGTAATTATAATATGCATCATTGACATCCACATAATACTGGAATATATCTGTATAGCGATCTTAATCAACATTCATAGTTTGATTTCTTCCATGGGCAGAGATCCTTGTCTGTTACATCCAAGAAATCCTACAATCCTCTAAGCACCATAGCAGTGATCATTAAATTAGAAAAGTATTGCATGGTGCTGAAAGGGTTAGACCTGGCATAGGACCACCCTGGGACCTCCTTACTGTCCTGTCTTACAAAATCACATAGGTAATTGCTTCTGTACAGAAATCATGAATGAAGAAAATCTCTTTTTCTTAAATGACTCACTTATCTTTATAAGCATCTAAATAGCTGGAGGCAATCGGTTAGGGATTCTTTGTATGACATAAATAAGCTGAACTTGGCTCAGACTGTGCCAGTGTTTTAGTATAAACGTTACATATGACCATGATTATTGATCACAATGTCAGGAGACAAACAAATTCCACCCTCGCTACTTGAAAACATCTAAAAAGCAGTCAGGATTTCAATATTGCACAGTTAATTAACAATTTCACTGTTTGCACAGAAAACATTTTAAAAGCAGACATAGACCTAGTAGACGGTACAACACACATTCCCTATTAACCCACATACTTCCAGAGAAAGCAGTCAGGATCCACTCACATAGAATTAGGTAGTTATAGTACTTAACAAGAAAAAACACACAGAGGTGGATGTGGATAAAAAGGCGCTTAAAATATTATTTGGTGTGAATTATATAAAATATAGCTGCTATGTGCACTTTTAGTGAATACTCCACAAGACACTATAAATATAAACCATACAAAAAACAGTATCAAGTAGTGAACAAAGTGCAAAAGACCTCAAACACAGCTTGATGTAAGTGCAGCGCTAAAACAGTATTATAAATTGTGATACACTTACCCCTCACAGTGTATATGGGGTGTATATGTGAAAATAAACAGAAAAAAACATATATAGAGTAGTATTGTCTGATGTGTTTGAAAATATATCAAATAAGTGAGAAGAATAAAACTTACATTTGAGAGAGCCTTTTATGAGGATATAGGCTCTAAACACAACAGCTTCTTTGCCTTTAAAGGTAGGCAATAGAACCTTAAAAACAGGAGTGTTCTTTTCTTCTCGAGAATCTACTTTTTTGTTCACTACTTGATACTGTTTTTTGTATGAGTTATAGTACTTGTCTAAGCCCTCTTAACAAGAAATTACTCGAGCTGAACAATTAGACTTTTCCTCAGTCTCTGGTCCTTTACTTTTACTTTAAGATTCTTAAAAACCTACTTTTTTTTTCTGAAGGCTTATACAGTAAGCAGTGACCATCACTCCCAGTCTCACCTCTTGTCTTCTCTAACCCAGTTTCTCCTTTTTCTTTAAATATGCAATAAAACATTGATAGCCTTTATTATTTTAGTACACCTAGAATTCACTTAGAATACAAAACATTTATCTTTAATTTTGAGGCAGGTGTACCCAGTTAGTATTAGACTATAAGATCACTAAGCAGATCTCAAAAATACCTTTTCTTGTTCTCTTACAAGTATTTGCACTTTACACTCATCATCAGTACAACTCAACAGACTATGTTGGTGCTTAATAAATAAATATTATCCCCATTTTCGGCACTGTTTCATGCTGTTCATATGCCAGAATGACAGAACTGCTAAAACACTTGAAATGTCAACTACTGCTCAGCAGATGATTACTTTTTTTTTTTTTTATTATGTAATTTAATAAATGAGACCCCCCCAATTCATATGCTGTGTGATAAAGCTCAATGAGTGGGGTCTTGTCATAGAGGTTCTGATATGTCCTAGTTTGGAACGTACCTCAAAATATGGCAACCAGTGTTTGAAGAATTCCCTGTGGGAGTAAGTTCAAAAAATACTTATGCCATTAGCTATCCATTTCAATTATTTACACTTTAGCAAAGTTCATAGAGATCTTCAGTTAAGTAAAACTATTAATAAATTAAATTAATAGCAAATATGTGAAATGCGTTGAGATTGGGCGTGTTAAAGAAAAATACATTTATACCTAAATCGCAGTAGATTTATTTTATATAAGACTTTATATAAACCCACGCTTGGTGGCGTGGAACAAACAGCGTCAGGTCTAGAGTCTTCATGTTGAAAACATGGTTATTTAAAGAGTTTTAGAAATGCATCCAACTTTTGCTCAAAGTGAATTAAAAATTTTAGACAATGTTTGCAGAATCGAAAACAAGTGAATAACCGTGTAAAATGTCATCACCTGTCCTGCACCCTCAATGTAACACTATAAACCCCAGACTATGAAGGCTACAGTGACACTAAGGGTGGCTACAATCTCTGAATTTACTGTAAGTACAGCAATCATGGCTGTCCTGTAAGAGGCAGTGTTAATAAACGGGGATCGAATCATCAATAGAGACATTTAATATTCAAAATAGAGATATTTTGTTTCTAAAAATCACAAACACATTTATTTTCAAGTAAAAAAATTATCTTTTTATTGCTATTCACTCCAGGTGGTTTCTTTATCTTTGCCGCTAGATCTTTGTTGAAGGTCCACTCTGAGAGACTCTTCACATATCTACTACCGTTCTATGATGTTCCATCTCTCATTACTGAATTGTATCATCTTACTGCATTTCTTAACATCTATAAATGTTTGTTCATACTTTCCATCTCTTGTTCCACGTCATACCAGCAATATGTTGCTTTTCCTTTCATATAAATGGTTATTTTTGTAATAATAGCAAGATGGATGGGTACCTAAACCCTTAAATATACACCTAACAAAAGATATAAACGTTCATTCCGTGGCAAAATTGGTCCACCCCAAGGCAGATTCATGTTTTTATGAACGTAGACACACACACACACACATATATAGAAAAGTAGTTTAACAGAGATTTGTTTACTCTTACACCCATGTGTTACAAAGCATAGGTTGTGTGAATGCATATCCTGCCAGGTCAAAACATGTACCTAATCTTGATTTAATCCATTCGCCCTGATGTAGACCCACATGCACAATACAGCACTTACCTCTTCTGCTGCAGCATGTGAATCTCATCCAACTCCAGTCCCTCTGGCGTATGACTTTGAATTTGACTCTTAATCTCGTTCCAGACATTATTCGTTATACCGTTGCTCTTTTTGCAGTAGTCTTGTCCCATCGTTGCAGCAGGAGACAAAGACCAATCGGATGGCGTGTACAAAATTTCTTTTAAATGATACCGCAGCAAAGGAGTTCTCAGATGAAAAACCTTTCAAACACACAATTCCCTATTCCTGTTAGTTCAAGACCTTGTTGTCTAGTGCACGCAGATTCTTATTGAAAAATAATCAAGCTCAAAGCAATTAACAAACAAGTGGTTAAAGATGAGAAACGTATTAGAACTGGAACATTAAACTAGACGGGATACACTGGGCAGTCTATTTGCAGGGCTGCCAAAAGCAAAGTTAAAAAGAGATAGATTGTTTTAGTACAGCCTGCTACCGAATGCAGAGACAAACACCCACGCCTGCTTTTTATATTCACAAGGATCCTCTCCTAAATATAACCTTAAAACAAATGTGTTACTTCCAATGGTATAATTACCTAGAGAGGTTGGGAACTCATACCTGAGAGAACACACCTCCTACTAAAGTTAAAGAGATAGCAAGTCTATTTAGAAGCAAACACAGGGGGTAAATATTAAAGGTCCAGGTGAGGAGTGGTCTACAAAGTTTAGTGTATGTTGGGGGTGGGGAAGAAAAGGAGAAAGCTTTGCATCAATAGAAAGATCCCCTCCTTCCAGCCCCCTTACTGCCAGAAAGATCCAGCTTTCTAGAAGTAAGACCATGCATTGTTAGTTGCAGGATAAACACCCATTAACCCATGGAATGGCAGATTGGTGCACACCTTAATGCCCATATAGTTCATTCAATTTAAGAAAAACAAAACAAAACAAAAAACACTACAATTGTGTAGAGACCAACATGATTCACAAAACACCTTATCATCTATAAATACTGAATGCCGGAAAGAGTTTTAGCATTACTTGGAAAATTTTCTTTGTTAAGTGAAAATAGTTTTTGGGGGTTTTTTTATTCGTTTTTCCATATTTTATTATGAGATTTTAAGTTCTTTTAATTTTTTTTTCCTTTTTGACCTTTTTTGTCTGATTGCACCTGTTTCCTATGTATAAAGCAACACGTTTTTTTTTCTAAACTCTTCTTTTTCTGAGCATGAATATTGCTTTCCTTCCACAAAAAATGTCTCCACACTGATTATTGGGTACTAACATGATGAAATCTTTTACCTGGAGACTTTTTTTTATACATCGACAGAGCCACTATTTATATATCAGTGAGGAAGCCTTAGAGAAGCTGATGCTGATGCTCTAAGCCGGTCACTGGCTACTTATTCACAAACGTGTCATAGAAAGCTTCCTACCATGAATGTGGGAGCCCAATCCTCAGTTTTTTTGAGGCTTCACTATAGAAGCATTGGATATCACCAGAGACCTAGATGCAGATAAAATGGGTGATGTCTTCATAACTTTGGGGTTAACCATTTCTAGATTGTTTAACTCTTTAAGGTGAGACAGTGCGCGGGATTTTCTCAAACCATAACAACTTTATTGACATAAAGTTGTTATGGTGCCTTGAGTGTTTCTTTAACATCCCAACAGAGATTTAGTTTGGTAGAGAGTTAATATGTTATTAATGATTGCAAACTTTAAAATGTTCTACACTTTTTTTTTTCTCTACAGGAAACTGATGCACAGGGGTTTAGGAACACCAATGACATTTTGAGAATATTTATGGGTGGTTATTTGTTAAACACCAATTTTTTGTGTGAAAGGGAAACCAAACTGCAAAATTTATGCTAAAATAACCAAAATGTGACTAAAACTGAGTTGGAAATATTTTCTAAATCAATTATTTTAGCCTTTGTAATTCAGTTCTTCAATTAATTACAATTCAATATTTAGTGAATAAATACACCACTATATTTCAACTACAATATCGAAGAGAAAACCTGTGATATTTACTAGTGCATATACCATGTTTTATCATATATTAAATCGATACATGCATACAGGTTTATTACCTGTGATATAAACCAGTGTTTCTGATTCATAAAATCAAAACTACTACCAGCTGTATCACAACTAAAAATTATAAAATACCACTTTATCATGAACAAGAAAAATGTATTAGATCAATCAATTTAAGCAAAACCTCATGAAGTTGAATGGACTGATGCTTAAACAGAAGTACAAAGGAGAAGCCCATATAATGTGTAGAGGTTAACAGCAAGCATTGGGAGGCAGTATGTGTCTGCCTTTATATCGGGAGGAGAGGCAAAATCTGGAACCATCAACGGTGACCTTGCTATATCATATTTGCAGACACAATGGGAAGCTTTTGAGAAAGAGTAGCTTTGTATTTTATTTTTACTGAATGTGCACTTTTGAATTCTGTATTCTGAATGACAGGGCTTGAAATTTTTGACAGACACTATGAGAAGAAAGAAAGAAAGAAAAAGAAAAAGAACGAAAGAAAGAGAGAAAGACATAAACAAATCTCGTAAAATAGCCCCAAAATGATGAATAGGGTAAAAATAAACAGAAGCATTTGTGAGATTTCCTGCACAGTAAATAGGGTGCACTTTGAAATGAAGGGTTACTGACCCCATGTATAAGATTGGTGGCCTACTCTGTCCCCAGAACCGCTTAATAATATATTTTAAAAAAACATTCTTCCTTCCCAAAGCTTGATACCGACATACAGTTAGTTTCCTGCAGATTTTATAAGCTTAGTCTCTAGATGGCAAAATCTCTGTTTAGAGAGCAAATCCGACATACATGTATTAGATAATTCCCCCCCTTCCTACCACAGAGTAGTCTTTCTCAATCTGGGTCTCTAGTACCTATAATGACTCCCCATGTGAGAGAAAGGTCAAAGTCCTCAATTTAATAAGCTTTCCAAATGATTCTACACTGTTAAAAAAAAACGTTCCAAATAATTTATTGACAAAATTCCCATAGACTTTAATGTTGACTTCTGAAGATAAGTCTTCTAACATCAATAAATCATTCTGACAGCTTATTAAATCAAGGCCAAAGATTCAGACATCTTATTGTTTTATAATTTTTTCAGTCTGTGATAAAGGAACACTATAGCGTTAGGAACTCAAATATATATTCCTAACGTTATAGAGCCCTAGTCATAGAAACATAGAATGTGAAAGCAGATAAGAACTATTCGGCCCATCTAGTCTGCCCAATTTTCTAAATACTTTCATTAGTCCCTGACCTTATCTTATAGTTAGGATAGCCTTATGCCTATCCCACGCATGCTTAAACTCCTTCACTGTGTTAACCTCTACCACTTCAGCTGGAAGGCTAATCCATGCATCCACTACCCTCTCAGTAAAGTAATACTTCCTGATATTATTTTTAAACCTTTGTCCCTCTAATTTAAGACTATGCCCTCTTGTTTTGGTAGTTCTTCTTCTTTTAAACATAGTCTCATCCTTTACTGTGTTGATTCTCTTCATGTATTTAAACTTTTCTATCATATCCCCCCATCTTGTCTTTCCTCCAAGCTATACATGTTAAGTTTCTTTTACCTTTCTTTGTAAGTTTTGTCCTGCATTCCATGAACCAGTTTAGTAGCCCTTCTCTGAACTCTCTCTAAAGTATCAATATCCTTCTGGAGATACGGTCTCCAGTACTGCGTACAATACTCCAAGTGAGGTCTCACCAGTGTTCTGTACAATGGCATGAACACTTCCCTCTTTCTACTGCTAAATCCTCTCCCTATACAACCAAGCATTCTGCTAGCATTTCCTGCTGCTCTATTACATTGTCTGCTTACCTTTAAGTCATCAGAAATAATTGCCCCTAAATCAATTTCCTCAGTTGTTGAGGTTAGTACTCTATCAAGCATTCTGTACTCTGCCTTTGGGTTTTTCTGTCCAAGATGCATTGTCTTGCAGTTATCCACATTAAATGTCAGCTGCCACAACTCTGACCATTTTTCTAGTTAGGTGACTGGGGCCCCGTTCCACGGCAAATAAATGGTTAATTAACCATTTATTTGCTTACCTTAATCCAACCCTGGGCTCCCTCGGCACTAGTGACCTCTCCTCCTCCATAGACGTCAGCCTTCGAGTTGAGCCGAATACGCATGCGTGGCCAGAGGTGCGCGCGCATTCAAACTCGTCTATAGGAAAGCATTACTCAATGCTTTCCTATGGGGATCTTTTTTGATGCTGGACTCCGTGAGGATGTCCAGCATCAAATAAGTGTGATTTACGCCATGTAAATCATGGAAGAGATTTGATTTAGTTGTTTATTGATTTAGTTTTTTATTGATTTACAAAACTAACCATGGAACCTGTCTAGAAACCTGGGGATCCCTCTTTGTAAACTGGTAGTGTCCATAATCATAACACCATAGTGAAGACAAATGACAGATCATTGCTCAGTTCTTCATCTCAGGCATTAAGGGCCCCCTGGATCCTGAAACTAATATATAATCCTTCATCACACTTTCCATGTTGGAAGCATTAAATGGTAAGTCAGGTGAGGCTGTGGGGAATGATACTGTATAAGTACTCCAGTTATTTACAGAAGTCATCTGGACATAAAAAAGCATATTTATTTTTTTTCTGTTTCAATGTCTAGGGAATGAAGAACTGAGTAGCTGGAGCTACACCCTATGCTTATTGTGTGGAGTTTGGAGCCAGAAAGTATGTGACAAACCCCTGTAATTTCCCTTGTCCCAGTTATGTTCCATGCATTCGGTAGATTGGCCTTCCGAACACCGACCACCCCATGGCTCATTAAACTTCAAAGAAACCACAAAGTTAAGATCTCTCTCTGTGTGGCCGCCGTTCATATAACCGAACATGTGTGCTGGAAAATGGCTGCCATCTTGTCTCCCGAAAGCAGGCAGCGGTACTTGGTCATCGAGTGTCTGGAACTCTAAAACGGACACTCGACCCCGTGAACACCAGTGATTTGATAAGAACGCCTGCGTCTTTTCATGACAAGGAGAGCGCTGTTCGGTAGGATTGTTCCCATGAACAAGGTGAACAATCACTACCTATGAGCCAGGGGAACCATCCGACTTTTGATTCATTTTGGAACTTCTGAATTTGACGTAACGCTACCACTAT